GACAACAAAAAATTTAGAGATTTGAACCCAATCTATAAAGAATGATGGTCCTATACACTGTATGTATAGGACTGATAGACCAATCAATCACGAGATAAGACATTGAAATTATGCTTTAAATAAATTATTTAACAACTGTTAATGCATACAAATAATTTACAAATACGAAATATATGAATATATATTTTTTAGTTTCGTGTTTTCGAAGGTCTAATAAAATTAAAACTCTCAATAATAAATAAATACGAAACATATTTCGTAACGGTTAGCGGGCGATGAGCGGCATAGGTCCATCTAGCAAGGTGCCTCAGCGCTCTCTGTTCAACGTGTGGAGTTGGAAGAGAACCAAAACAACGCCGCCGTTGCGCGGTGTTTTGGCCATCGCGTTCGAATTAATTTTAATTAATTAAATTACAAATATCTTACTTCAATCAGCAAATTAAGACAACAGTCCTTTTTATTAATATATTCTACACCACTGATATTAATTTCATTAAGATTTGTTCATTTATTATATCTATTTTTTTATTTGAAATTCACGTTTAGAGGTAGGTTCGTGATTGTTTCTATCGAGAAAAGGTATCGAGAATATGTTTTGAAAACAATGGTCCATTTGAATGTAAGATCAAGATTGACATATATTTTTTTTTTTGCTTCTATAAAATGTATAGATTTTGTTAAAAGAAAATTTAAAAACCTATTTTTACTGCATAAAGCTCCTTAATAAATTTAATTGTAACTTAAAATTTGATGTGAACATTCACGGCTTAGTGATAGTCGAACACACTCGATGGCACTGTTGCAAAGTGAACAAAATTTAGAGCATTGCTTATGCAGTGCTATAACAGATCAACAGAATGCTGCTAAGAGGTTTGTTGTTAGGGGAAACCAAATAAAACCTTTCAAACATTTCGCTCGCAATGAAGTATTATTAACAGCAAAAATGGGTGTTTAAAATAATGAAAATCATTTTTGCCATCATTATTTGACAAATGAATCATCTATTCGAATGAAAGATCTACTGGCTAGCATGACGACCTCCTATATAGACGTTAATTGGCGTTCGTTGTTAAGTAAAATCTTGTATATCATACAGGTTGGCTTTAATAAAGGTGCTCAAATTCATACAGGAGGTTCAGACTCGGTAGTTTAATCCTTAAAATATTACTTAAAATTGTAATTTTATTTACGCCACGGGCCACTTGAATTGACCTACCACGATGTCATCTAGTAGGTGAATTAAAAAAATATCAGTCAAAATACTCTATATGATTAACTCTGAAGTTGAAAACAAATAGCCGATTTTGCTCTTTTACTTGTTGCTTGTTACAATAACCTTTTCGTAATATTCAACAAATTTTCGTGTTTATAATTTTTCAAGTAGTGATCCTGTGTTTATCTCAAAACGAATTAATCGCTTTCGGATTGTAACTGAGCCCCAAAATGTTGTTTTCATTTTATTTTTGTAATTAGTATAATAAAAATAATCCCTAGATTATGTTATTAGCAAAGCTATAGCGACGTAAAATTATTTAGAAGGAATATCTATATGCATATTTCAATCTTTAAATCTAAAATTATTGCAAATATTTCAATGTTTGTATTTAGAAATAGTTTAGTTTTTAGTTTTAATAATCTTATTGAGCATGAACAAGAACTATGAAAAGTCCTTAGCCTGTACCTATGTGAAGATTATAAACATCTGTTTTAATTAAATTAATTAAGATAAGAAATGATAAGATACGAATATTAAGAAGCAATGGTGTTCCGCTTAACAAAGCGTAAAATATCCTATTCTAACAAGGAAGCAAAGATCCATACAACTATTTCTCCTAAAGTTAAAATACTCGAAAATTATGCATTTGAAAGAGCCGTGATAGCTCAGTGTCCGGGCGCTCGCCTTTAATTCAAAATACTCGAGCAACCTGAGTTCGATCCCCGGTGCCGGCACCAATGAAGTTTTTAACTTTAAGTGCTGTCTTATCACGTGCTCCGCGGTGAAGGAAAACATCGTGAGAAAACCTGCATATTTTCGAAATAATAATTAAAAAAAAATATAGAGGAGGCCTTTGCCCAGCAGTGGGACATGTATAGGCTGTTACTTTTTTTTATGCATTTGATGGTGTTTTTTTATTTCAGCAATAGCCCGTTATGATTTTACCCGGTCTAAGGGAACAAAATTCGATATTCGTTTTTAAAGTCGACATGTTGACTGGCAAGGCCTTTGGCGAGTCCACCATCACTAAACAGTAAAACACCTTTTGATAAATAAAAAAACAATATGTAGAAAAAGCGGACAGTGGATTGAAAACAATAGCACTAATTCAACATACCTAGTGTTGTATGTTATTTATATTAAAAAAAAATAGATTAAGAAAATTTTAAATACACCTACAGACAGTCCCACTGATGGGCTAAGGCCTCCTCCGTACAGAGGATATCTGGGCATAGTCCACCACGCGGCCTCACTGCGGATTATCGTACTTCACATATCTTCGAAATATTTTTTATTGTTATTTCGAAAATATGCAGGTTTTCTCACGATACTTCTCTTCACTGCTGAGCACGTGATAATTAAGCATTTAAAATTAACAATTTCATTGGTGCAGGCACCGCAGATCGAACTCAGGTTGCTCGAGTATATTGAATTAAAGGCGAGTGCCCGGATATAAGCCAATAAATTGAAATTTTACTCCATTGATGTGACTCAAATTGTTCACAACACCGCGTTAAATATAAATAAGACTGGAGCACAAACGATCATTACATCGACAATTTTGAATGCAACGTCTTGGTATCAACTTCCACTGCGCTACTTCATCTAAATAATAGCTTTATGCAAACAAGCACTCAGAGGAATGACAACATCCGACTCAATCCTTTCAGCGTATACCCTTATTGGGGTCGTCGCTTCTACCAATTTAAATATCCGCCCATATCATACGTCCAGGCTTATCAAAATACATTGTTCGCTGTATAATATAATATTTTCCAAAAAGTAAATAGCATTTATATTTTTACAACATTATGACACATCAATTAAGTTTTTTAAATTCTTAATGATTTCTGGATAATTGAGTATCATATAACTCAAAATCTTTATGGTAAGTATATGTAACTGTAGTAGGGCACGCAAAAGTTTTTGCTCTTGCAAAAATGGGCAGGTAAGTACCACGACTTCACAGAAGGCCGGTGTGAAGTGGATGTGCTATATTTCTACGTTTCGTCTGGTGATTGAGATAGATGGGCCCACTTTATTATTAGGTAGCAACGCATCTGCAACCTTAAGAGTATTGCAAATGTCAATAGGCGGCGGTTATTACTTAACATAAGGTGAAACGCCAATTCGTTTACCACCTTCTCACAAAACAAAAAGGTATACACAGGGTGGATTTTTCTAAGCGTATCGATTTTTTTATTATATCCTAGACATAAATAAATGTTGCATAAAAAATGATAAATATTTAAAATCACTCGTAAGTAATTAATTACATTCATTTGAACTTGTTGAAACAAAAAGTGCGTCATTTATACGCAACTCATTTATTTTACGCGCGATCATTTATAAATATCACGCACACAAGTTCGTGCACAGAAAAATTTTTGGTATTTATGAATGACTACCGCATTGTCAACACTTTCTGTTTTTTAGGGAATAGAATGGCATTTTTTTTTTAAATGTCATTTTTTTGTTTTTTTTTTTTATTTCAATAAACGATTATGCTACCGAGTCTGAACCTCCTGTATAAATTTGGGCACTTCTCAAAAAATCTCCCTGTATATTGAAATTATTTTTGCTTATTTACACTCTACACATTACATACACATACTGAAACAAGCCAATTTCAAATCTCGGTGTTTAAAAAAAGAAAATAAAGTATCAGCCTATACAAGTCCCACTGCTGGGCAAAGGACTCCTCTGTGCAGAGGGTATCAGGGTATAGTCCACCACTCGGCCTCTCACTACGGATTTGCGGACTTCACATTTATCTTCGAAATATTTTTTTTCTCGTTACAACAAAAATATACAGGTTTCCTCACGATGTTTTTCTTCACCGCTGAGCACGTGATAATAATTCAGCTCTTAAAATTAACAATTTCATTGTTGCCGGCAACGGACCGGGGATCGAACTCAGGTTGCTCGAGTATATTAAATTAAAGGCGAGCGAACGGACGAGCTCTCACGGCCCAATGCCTCAGTGCCTAAACCAAATAAATTATTAGTTGCAATTTTAAGTGCTGACTTATTACGAGCGTGTTCACCGGCGAAGCAAGCTTCGTATTTTCGAAAGACTAATAAAAAAGAAATGCGAGAGTGTCGTGGAACACCCGATTGGAAGTTCTTTTCGTAGTTATGTTATTATTGATAAACCTATTAAATTTTTAATAACTAAAAATTTTATCCCCTGTGCCAGTAATTTCTAGCATAGTTTTTCATTGTTTGTTAAGTAAAACTTAACCTACGGCGCAAGCAAAGCAGTTAACCCCCTATCTAGCTTGACCGATTTTCTAACGGGATCCCATCATTGACCCACTGACCCATTGCACTTGACTCAAATACCCAGCCCGGGAGCCAACCCCCTCTCGCCACCGCACGCAGCCACCCTCTTTGCGATCATGCCACCCTGCTTTCCTCCCACAGGTGTAATTACATCGATTTGTATATCACCTTATAACCACTAACCTTTTTGTTATTTCATTTTTTGCATATTTTTTGGCGAGAATTTTTTGAAAATGTTAAGGTTTTTTAGAGTACAGTATAATAAATTGTTATAATTTATATTATATGAAGATTCAGTGAATTCATCTTCGATCTATTTCGTGAATAACTAAAGTTCGCGAAACCAAAACAAGACACTACGATTTATAAAAACGTTTATGGTAATTGTCTCTCGGTGGGCTCAAATAATTCCATACTGATGAAAGGAATATTTACTTTGCCATTCACACCAAAATCTAACCTGTCGTTCGGGTCGAAAACCCATCATTGTGTTCCGCTACCTTCCGACGCCGTAAGGGAAACTGTAAGTGTTCGTTTCTGTCGCGAATGAATAATTAATACGATAGCCCGCATAAAGCGTTTGCCGCGCGTTGTACTCTGCGCGGGCGCTCGTCGATAGCGTAATCGTATTGCGCGTTATTACATCGGCCCACGTCACCGGGCCGCGGGGAAAGTGTGACGTCGCGGTCGTGCGGCGCACGCGAAGAAAGTAAAGTTGCGCATGCGACGAGGCAGCCACTGTTGCTTTCGCAGGGGGCCGCGACGTCTGCCCGACGCTACGGCGAGAACGGCACACTTTGTATCGGGGTCGCGATTATGAAATCGAAACTCATTGAGTCACCGACGCCCATGAGCCATTACGTGCATTTCGAGCGGGCTTCCTCCGCGACCGGATGGTACGCCGATATCGTTGGCGGCAGCACTTCACTGCATCTGTGCATTTGTCGTGTGATTTTGGGCGCGTGTTCGGCCCCGCCACAGTTTAGAGCCCGCACCGCCCCGGCCGCGCTCAATTCGCCGCTTAGCGCTTCGGGACACGTAGAGGCGCACGCAGCGGGCGCAAGGCTACCACCGTCACTCGTTCGTGACCCGTTGTATGATTTCGAGCGAACTGGGTCAAGATCTTTAATTATAACGCTTTTGATATTGAATAGCTTTTGTTGCACCTCAATGGCGCCTAATTGTGTTTTAATGCACACGCTCGTTCGTTAATTTTTAACGTGTGAGAAAATTTATACAATCCCCATTTTGATTATTTTGCATCGTACGTTTCTTGTTTTTCTTTTAATGGTCTCCAGGTTTTGTGCGATTTATGTACTTTTTCCGTTTCGTTGGCCGTCCGGCGCACGCGGAGAAATGCTGCAAAGGTATAATAGGAATCGAGAGTCCATTCTGGAAGTGGTTATCGCATAGCCAGCGATGGGTTACATTTCGCGATGAGGGTGATGATGATTATATTTTTAATATAAAATATTAAGCAATTAAAAATTATTACTTCTGCGGTTTATCATAACGTTTATTTTTAATGAACACAGTCTTGTGGGTCTTCGTTATTATACTAAGCCGATAGCACCGGCAAGCAGTTTTTTTCTCTTTAGAGATAATTAAATTTTAGTAGACTGAAACAGTTCTTTATTACAGTTAGTGAACGTACGGTGTAGTTATCTATGCAATGTTATATTGACTATATTTTCTTTTGCTTTACGTTTAACCGTACGTAAGTACGGTTCGTTTATTTTTATTTTTTATTTTATTTATGTTTATAGTTATTTTATGACCTCCATTAGAAAGCCAGGCCTTTGTTTATTATAGGAGAGCAGAGTATCCATATACTATAACAATTATAAATATATTTTTATTAACGGTAAAAATAAGAATAAGCTTAAAAGTCAATATTATAAAGAAATAAGTTTAAATTGCAATATTTTATTCCTTGTTTATTTTTTTGCTGAACGCTGTACGCTACAACTTTTTTCTTTTTTTTTTTTTTTAAGTAGGGGTACCTACTTTAGGATAACATTATCCTTTTTTGTAATGACGTTTTACAAACATAAATTTCACGTTGACAAACACCCAGTCACGTAAATAGTTGTCCCGTGTGGGAATCGAACGACCCGACCACGACCCCAACGCCGAAGCCAATACCTTGGCAACTGCGGCATGAATTCATCAATAACTATAACTACTAATACCCATTTGTATATAATAATTGTTATAAGTTTATTTAGGAAGATCGGAAAGGTCATCTTATTCTTTTCGCTAAGTTTAGAGCATAATTTGTGAAGACTGATTGCACTGACGTCGCGTCCGCCGCCACTAGAGTTTTCTTGTTCGTCGGAGTGTCCGACACGGTGCGTTGGTGAGTGCTGTGCGAACGTAAACAAGCAGCGGGAGCGGCAACCCTGCCCTGCTGCGGCACCGCGCGCAACTGGGTCAGTGGGCCGCCCCCCCCCCCCCCCCCGCTCGCCCTCGCCCCCCACACCAACCCCGCTCCGCCCTGCCCGCGCGGTGGCGCAACCGCGCGAACGCGCACTAACATAGACCTGGATCGCGGGAAAGTGGGTCACCGACTCACTTTCACTTATTACATGGGCTCCTAATCGTTTTCCATTGTGCGAGCGGGCGGGGGGCCCGCGGCGGGGCGCGCATGCGGGAGGCGCCGGCACGCGCGCCGCCGTCACCGGCCGGCCGCCAGTCGATCGCGGAACGTTTCTCGAGCGGTACGCGCCCTGCCGTCGAACACGCTCCCCTCGCGATCACAACTTCGCGCCTCCGCGGCCAAGCACACGATCAGTCGCCGCTGCGACCGGCTGCGACCCGCACGTATCGCGCCCACGCCCGCTAAGAACAAAATGTGCCGGATTTATGTGTCCACAATAGTAGTGTCTGAACAGGTGCAGCCCGCGAGCGGCAGATAGTGTTGCGGTTAGGTAGACCGCCAGTGAACTTGGTGACTGTGTGAACGTTGTCGCGGTTGAAAGCCGCCCTAGGGATTCGTTTACGAGCAGCCGCTTAGCGCGGCCGAGCATGACGATGGATCAGCAGACAGGCCTCATGTCCCTCAATATGTCCCCGTTCGACCTGAGCCCAGGACCGGAGGGCTCCGGTTCGGGAGGCGGGCCCTCGGGGGCCTCGCAGCAATATGTGCCACAGGGCGCTGCCTACCAGTGCGCGCCCGACCAGCAGCCTTTCGGCTATGCCAATTTGGACACTTCATATCTATTCCCGACAGGCACCGGCGAGCCGGGCGCCTACTTGCCAGCCGCTGGCACTGTTTGCGACCAGACCGACACCAAGGACGTGATAGAGGAACTGTGCCCCGTGTGCGGGGACAAAGTCAGCGGCTACCATTATGGCCTCCTCACCTGCGAGTCCTGCAAGGGATTCTTCAAGAGGACCGTACAGAACAAGAAGGTGTACACATGCGTCGCGGAGCGCGCCTGCCACATTGACAAAACACAGAGGAAGCGATGCCCATTCTGCCGCTTCCAGAAGTGCCTCGACGTCGGCATGAAGCTCGAAGGTGAGTTTTGGCATTAATACATTTCAGTTTTCACTAGATTTTATGCAATGCCTCTGTCGGAGCTCCTTTGGGGATGTGGGTCGAGCGCGCAGTGGCAGAGCGCGCAGCGAGATGGCTTACATCATGCAGTGGCAACAGCAGGCGGTGCATAAAAATTGAAAGTTTACAGAGTGCACAAGTTGAGACTTCGGTGCACGGGCGCGGATGACATCCAGCGACGAATTATATGCATAACGAATGCAGCCAAATCAACCGTCTGATGGACGATTAAAATAAAATAATTGTTAACTATTACCATATCCGTTGTCATCTTAATATCGGCATTTAGTTTATTATTTAGACTGTGGTCATCACTTGTTCCATCTAGGGTGAAAATAAAACATTTTACGAATTCATCCCTTTTTACTTTATGTTGAAATTTCGGCAATAATGCTATACTTCCAATATGAGGCAGTATTCCAAATTGATTAACAAAATATGTGCAAAGGTAAAAGGCGAAATCATCTCCATCATTATGACGAGCAGTCAGCAACAGCGCGATATTTCGTTAACAGCAACGTTGCAATACAAACTCGTTTATTCGCTATTTTGTAAGGGATACGAAGTCTACTACATAACCAGTTTGCAAGCAGGGCTAGCCCCAAGGTTTTGCGCGGCTAGTACTTTTCAATTATTTCCGAGCAATGTATCTTTATTGTTAATAAAGCTATATTCATCTGCGAAACAAGCGCAAAACCTACTTTTGGTGCTTGTGTCACACTAATAAAATGCTAACATGGAATAAGCATTGTTTTCATTAGTTATGGTTAAGGCAAACGAAATTTGGTAAATCAGCATTAGCCTACATCAGCATTAGCGTGAGTTTTGCTGCTAATAAAGATAAATGCTAAGAAATGAAGTCATTCAGAGACAGCGGCATTCAATTTTACAGGCAATATCAGCATCATTGCCAAAGATACGGATTAACGAATAATAGAACCCGTGATGAAGGCACCCAAGGTTTAAAAATATACTTTGGACATTTCGAGGTTTAAGGCAACCCGGTTGCGCCAAAGTGCGCCGGGGTGCGATTGCTGGCAGGTGGAAATTTCAAAAGTGGCGAATGAATTCGTAGTGTTGGGCGATCACGGGGCGGGGTTTGTAGCGCGGATCGTTCTAAATTTAAAACGCGCGCGGCCGCAGAGCGCCCTGACCTACTTGCGAGCGGGGCCGCGATGCGGCGCGCGCGCCTCTGCGTGCGTGCGCGTACGTACGTATGCGGCGCGCCGTTGCCGCTGTGCGCGTGAGCCGCTCGCCCGACGTTTCGCCAGATGCTGCGCCGTTTGCAACACCCATCGCCAGCGCTGAAATCTGAATAAACAATCCGCCGGGGGATTCGCGAGCGAGGCGGCTCGTACTCGCACGCGATGCGATGCGATGCGCCCGACGGGCACGCACTCGCAACATGTGCCCGCGTTCCCCGCACACAAAGCCAAAGTCCGCGCCGAAAACTATAAGCGGCTTAGAGCAACGCTTCATACGCTCCGATACCGTCGCAAACGATGCCTTCGGAATGTTTAAGCCAATAAATATATTTTAAATTGAAGAAATTGGATTTACTTTATTGTTACTTTAAATGTAAAGCCTTAGAAGCAAATTTCTTAAAACTTTGTACGTGTATATTTTTCGCAACTCCATTTGTTTTCGTAACCTAATCTCAAATGTTCAATTTGTTAAATTTTCCATTGACAACTCTACACGTTGTCTATGTCGCCCAAATAGATTTTTTTGCAAAATATCGGTTAATTGCTTATAATTTCATACGCGTCCGTTACATCACGAATCAATGCGACAGCTTTTGCGTTTCGTTTCGCGATTGACGTTCTCAATTGAGCAAATGTTGCGTTCGCAATTTAGGATGGCGGTTGAGCGTGCGCGATGAATAGTTTTGCACCGCGCAACAGTTCGCTTCGAAGTCAGCTGCATTTCGATCTGCGTTTGATTGAGTGCAATCAAAATGGACAGTATGGAACGAAAAGACTATCTATCTAATACATATGCAGTTTAGACTAACTATGAATTATATTTTATTGATTTAACTTTTGTCGAATATCATGTAGGATTCGCTTTGAAAATTTGGATAATTGTTATTCAATTGAAAATTTAGAAAATATTATTGCGCTATTTGGCGAGTTAGGTGGATACGATTAACATTTTATCTGTCCTTTTGACAGGATGATTTTTGGGACGGCTAGGCCGTCACTACGCTTTTACTGCTAAAAAAAAATTAAAATTAGAACTCTTCGAGAAAAACGCATCGCAAAGCATCACCGAACGGGGGAATAATCGCCTGAATCACAAAATCATAATGCCAGATGGCACAATTGTCACAAACGGTCGGGTGACCCAGATGGCTGTTGCGAGAGAGCCTTGCGGCGGTGGCCCGCGCCTTGTGCAACCTCTGGGGCTACAAGCACCCACCGCGGCAACACGGCTCGCCCTCAGAATACGAGGCCAACATTTCGATCGCGCCTTGCAAAAATCCCGTGAATCAACCACACGACACAGGCCCAATATGCGCCGTACACACCAATCGATCCGTCATCTATTATATGCATAAAATGCAATATTTCTTTTTTTGCCCCGTGCAGCTTCTGTAGAAGGTTAACGAGGAGTCGGTAAAAGAAATTGCGATGCGATTTCAAAGGGCACCACCACTCATAACGAAACAAAACCCGCTTAATGTCGGTTAGGCAAGTGGAATCTTGCACTTTCACGAGCTATGCTACGGTTGAAGCCTTCTACGCGTTGAAAGCGAAAACGACATTCGTCGAAGGTAAAAAAAGATGATAGTTCGAAGATACTTTGTGACAAAAAATGAGTCAATCGAAAACCGTGGCAATGTGATCTTAAAACATCTGCACTGGAAGTGACGTTCGTCTTTGTGTATTTAAACGGAGAACGCCGAAGGCAAACAAGATGGCGTTACCAATAGACTTGATGACCCATTTAGAAATGCCAGTAAAAACAAACGGCGCTCCGCTGCCGCGGCTGGCATTATCCGTGCGAAATTACCCATGGATTACGCAATCGAACACTATCTGTGCCACTGACATACTGAGCGGCTTCAAACCTGTTGCGATAAATGGACGTACGTCGAACCGTGCGTCTTTTTTCTTTCTTTTTTTTTTTTTGTTAAATAATAGTGACACATTAATGATATTCAAAAAATCGGTAGTCTCATACTAATTGAAATGTTTGCATCGAACCGTAGCACCATTTCTCTTGGTTGTACTTCTTAATTTACAAGTAAAATAAAGTAATTTAACACTAATTTAGAATCAATTCGCACTTTTGATAAGAGACAGGAAGCTAGCGTGCCGTAATATCGATTCAATGGCTGTTCAAATTCGACCGTGTACGACTGCCGCCGGATTAAAAGCGGCGGGTGCGCGGTGGCGAGTGTACCGCGTTTCGACACTCCGCCGCCGGTGGGGTGGGCTGCGCAAGCGCCGTTTCACAAGACTCCTCGCTCGACCTGTCGCAACGGAGTACCCAAATGTGACCCGTGCACGTATCACGTTACACGTGATAAGTACACGCGTGCTTTTGCGTGCCCAATTCGCTATGCCTTTGCTCATGACCAAAATTACTCTCCCGTCCGAATGTGGCTTTATTATAGGGAATACACTGGCTCGTTTCAAGTGCAACGAGTACTCCTCTATTTTGGAACGACTCCTGTATTTTGCGACCTCTACGTAAGACAAAAGCCGATAGGAGAGTACGCCGCGTCAACGTTACTACTCGTAATAGCGTTCTAGCGCAGCGGCCGTCCCTCGTCATGTAGCACCCATGTAGGCACCACGGCGCGGCGGCGTCGTAGGTCCATAATGACGGTTGTTACTTGTTACACGGCCCGTTGGCCGCGCCGTGCACGCCACCTTACGTAACCCGACGCCATCCATCGCCGCATTGGCGCATCGTGCCACACATTTTAAACTATTCCGTCATTCAATTTCGCTACGGGCGCGGGCCCGCCCGCCCCATTATGTGCCCCCCCCCCCCCCCCCCCCCCCCCGCCAATACGCCCGGTGCTTGTCGTTTATTCCGCGCGCATTCTGCCTTATGAAATTGGGATCCTGCCCACTTGGTGTACAGAGCCTAGTCTCTATTCCTGTCGGAGTCCTATTGGAATTGCAGCAATTGCGATAGGACTCCAGTGAAACACCAACAACGGGAGGGCGTTGAAGCACAAACCTCTGTTACATTGTTTTGATGTTAGCCGCCCGCGTGACGGTGGCAAAGCCATGAGAGCGGCAGCGCAGCGCGACAGATGTTAGATCACAATAAAAACGCGCGCCAACCGACTATTTCGGCGCGCTGCCTTGACCCGAATCGCGCGTTTCGACAGAACGGCCTCGCGCACCGGGCCTTTCTATTTTTTAGGTATTACCTGTCTTATTATTACGACAGATTTAGGGGCGCCGTCATCTTGATACGTTACGGGTACGCAAATGTTTTAGGAATGCCTTCGCGCCTCGGACTGCTTGTAATACTATAGATCTAGTTAGGCTGTAGTACATACTGACAAATACATAATTTTACTGCGATTCTGAACGATTTTAAATTATACAGCGAACTTTGCTGCAATTCAAATAAATATGACTTCGTGTGAAGGAAATTATATATAATTCGCTTTAGAGTCGTAATAATCGTAGTGCTGCGGAGTCGGGTGCGATGTTGACGCCTCTAAACGCTCAGATGAGATCTTGACATAGTTTGGTGGATCATCGCGGGTGATGATTTATCTCGGCTGTTGTGTAACGATCGCGCCTGTATCTGTGTGCGTTCATGTACGTTCGCCGAGTCGGGTGCAGTCGGCCGGCTCCGGAGGCGCTCGAGCGATGTACGGGGCGGGACGGGGAGGGAGGGGACGGCGCGCGCGGGAGGAGTAGGGGGCGGGAGAGAGGAGGGGGGGCAGCCTTGACCAAGTTTCACCGACTCGTCGGTACAAGGAGCGA